GAGCTCCCCAGCATATTAACTGCACCATCTTAGGGCTTTCAGTCTGTTCCTTTGTAACTTTGTCCCTTAATAGTCTGCGAGCTCCCCCAAGAATAATCAAGTGGATGTTTTGTGAAGAAAGTAACCCAAACCAATTATTTTGACTCATTTTGACAGAATCCTTAACTGATGTTCTCTGTCCTGACTTGGACCCAGTGTTGACTTTGCCACTACCACCTGTGAACTTGGCGAAGTCTCTGCCATCTGGACCTCAGGGCCACACTTTTGTAATGAATGGACCAATCTAGATGTGCTCTAAACCCATTTTCAACTCAACCATGAGGAAGTTGCCCATTGGGAAGAGAGAATGGTTAAGACAAAAGCTGGACAAGCTCATGACGTTAGTTCAGGAACGTTTTGAGCAGAGTGGACATTAAGGACCTCAACGGAATTCGCTCTTCGGAAATGAAGAGGCCATCCTTCTTGTTTGGGTTCCAAAGGAGGCTGAGGGTGAGTCATGGCCATCCTTGTTACTCTAGGTATGTTCCCGGGACCAGCAACCTGTGGTGTCTGGCTCCTTCGTAGGGGGGTGCAGACTGCACTGGACGACAAGGGGTAACATCAAAATGACTGTCTATTAAATTTTTGTGCAGTATTTCAGCAGAAATTTATTATTTTTTATAAAAATATTCCTGTAGTTAGTTATAACAACAAAAACACTTTTTGTAAGCCCAATTTACGTGTATCAGTATACCTACAAGGCTACAACTCTATGCTAATTTATTCTTTGAAACTTCTAATGCCCTCCGGTCAGAGCTGTCATTATTACCCAATTACAAAGACGCTTTGAATCATGTGGTTTTGTCCACAGGCGCTACAAGCACGCACAGTTGTTTTCGTTGCTGCCAGTATTTTTATAGTTCCTGATTTTGCCAAATTTTCTGGTGTTTTAGCTATAGTATTATGGTAATTAGTATTTGTGAACCTATATCAATAACTTTTTTAAGAATGAAGTAGTAATTAAAGGAAAAGAAGGAGTGATATACGGGAATTACCATTTATGAATAATATTAGCACAAAAAACTTTACTAAGGATTCTGTATGGTCTGGTATGGGAGGAGGTCCATGGGAGGGGGTGACACCATGGCTAATTGCACTGAGTGACACCAACCCTAGTGACGCTACTGCCAGGAACATCAGCATCACCTTGAGCCCCACTGCAGAACTGCTGAGTCAGAATCTGCATTTTAACAAGATCCCTGAGTGAGTTGTAGGCACATTGAGCGCTGGTCTAGGGGGAGGATTAGGAGGAAGTGGTGGTGGATGTGTGCCTCATTCTACCAGTGCTTTCCAGAGTTCTCTAGCTATGGCACAGGGATCGAATATGTGTTTCTGTAGCATTTAGTTGTAGGTTATCTTTTGTTCTCTAAAATCACTTCTAATATATAGTGTTTTCCTCTTAAGAGAAAGTCCTGGCAATTAAGGTCATCTTAACCAACTTCAATGATGGTAGCTAGCTGTAAAGATGCTACATAGAGGTCTCAGGTGTGCCTGCCTCTGGGCCCCTACACTGATTGGCCCTAAACCACTAGGCCAGTGGATTGCAAGCCTAGATGCCTATTAGAAACACCTGGGAAGTGTTGCTAACCTACCTGAGGCTGGACCCCACCCTAGACCAATTAAATCAGAATCTTTGGGCCACAGGGCTTGGGCACAGCCAGGGTGGAGAGCCACTCCCACACTGTAAGATTTGGGTCACTGTTTTTGAGGTGTGAACGGGGTTCATAAAATGAAATAACCACAAAAATGTTAAAGCTGTTCCAGTTGTCGTTGTAAACCTCACCCTGACCCTGTAGTCTACATCTTTCCCTTTGCCCTGCTTTATATTTGTTGCTTCCAATCTTTTCTGGACAGGGAACCATAACATCAAGCTTATTAGGATTGTATGGGTCTGCTATCTCTCCAAAGTGTGAAACACAGGAGCCCTGTGATGATGTAGAAGCTCAGGCATCCATACTAGTCGCCTGGGGTCTTTTTTCCATGATTCTTGGGTCTGGGCTGTATTTTGGATAATTGAGACTGTTGATCATGTGAACTCGGTTTAAAAAAAAAAAAAAGTTATAGTCTTTACCCATAAGAGATGAAATTCTATTTCTAAATGAATAGGCAATCTGGGATGACAAGAATATGCCACACAGAACTCAGGCTGATCATAGCTTTGCCCACTGAATGGCTATCATCTCTCTTTAAACTAAGCAGAGTTTTAAGGCTTCTCAAACTTTAGAGAACTTTGAGAACCCCCACGTGTCTGTCCGTTTGTCCTGCTGTGGGGGCTTGCATGTTGTAGGATGCTGGAAGCTATGCCACCAGTATTCATATACCAGCAGGGTCACCCATGGCAGACAGGTTTCAGCTAAGTTTCCAGACTAAGACAGACTAGGAAGAAGAACCCAGTGGTCTACTTCTGAAAAGAATTAGCCAGTGAAAACCTTCTGAATAGTATATGATCAGGAATGATGGAACTGAAGGAAGAAGTCCAAGTTGCATTGAAGGCATTGGTGAAAAACAAGTCTCCAGGAATTGATGGAATACCAACTGAGATGTTTCAACAAACAGATGCAGCACTGGAAGTGCTCACGCGTCTATGCCAAGAAATTTGGAAGACATCTACCTGGCCAACTGAGTGGAAGAGATCCATATTTATGCCTATTCCTAAGAAAGGTGATCCAACTGAATGTGGAAATTATCAAACAATATCATTAATATCACATGCAAGTAAAATTTTGCTGAAAATCATTCAA